ACAAACACAGTCATGCAATGATGAAAGCCTTGCTCAGCTTATTGACTAGGATGTAATTCTTATTGACATTAAATACATTTACTGATCAACTTTTATATTTCTGTGTTCACTATAATACTTCTAAATGTTGGCTTTGATGCTGTCTTAACAAAGACAGAAAAAGTTCTGCGTATTCCACAAGTACATACACCTCCACAAGCAATACTAAGTGGATTCTGGCCTTTTTTTTTTTTTCCTCCTTTCTTTTCCCCCCCACACTATTTGTGGACAGCTGGTTCCATAATGGAACCTGGATATGACTGTTACTTGTCAAGAACTGTTGCTACCTGCACACCTTAAATGTCGGTCCATTGCAACTAAGTTCTAGGAAAGGCATGTTCAATAGGAAGGGTGTGCTCAGTATTTTTCTTGTTTGGAAGATGCATCTTATTTGACTTTTTTTTAAAAAATATTTTGGATACTTTTTGTTGTTATTGGGGGTATTTTTAATGGGGTTTATCTGAAATATTATAAAATTAGTCAAGGCCAAATTTTCAATTGATAAGTTACTTTCGGTATCTAATTTACAGGGGAGAGAGACAGGGGTGGGAGTGTAGACTTCTGCCTTAAGAACAAACAAACATTTATAGACCTGACATACCAGAGATTAAAAGGTAGGCTTTTGCTCCCTTAAAATCAGGCTTTGAAGTTGTTTTAAGATGAATGGACAGAAGCAGTAAGGTGTTTATACATTAATGAATAAATTTCATACCTGCATTTAATCTTGAAACAAAATACTTATTTTTACTTCTAGGCACTTGACATCAGTAGTCATTTCCTCCAGTACTTCATGTGAAATGTGGTTTTGTTTAAAATCTACTCCTTAATGAGCAACTGGTAGGGCCAGCTGTGAGAAAGATACTCAACGCTTCCGAGTCTGCAAAAGCTCGGAGTAGTTTTTTACTGCCTGTGTAAGACTTGGTATAACCATCCAAAAGCTCATGATATTTGTGAGAAGGGATACAGGTGGTGTATTCTCATTTCTTTTTTTACCTTGGCCCTCCACCCCCCCCAATAAAGTAGTAGGTGCCAGTAGAGTGTAACCAGTATTTTTTTAATAAATAAAAAAGGCTTTACATTACCATTACTGCTGGATTATCGGCACACTGTGTGTTTGCATGAAACACATCTGCTTTAGCTTTTCAATCAATTTTTGTGGTTTTTGGCTGGCTTCATTAAATTGGGTGGATTTGTTGACAGCAGATAAGTGTCACAGTATCCTGCAGAGTCTAGATACTACTTCTGAACTTTGTCAAAGAAATTGTATTTTTTTTTCTAAGAGAGGACATAATAAAGAACATGCAATACTCTAAATTCTTAGCTAGTCTGTCATTCCTCACATCCTCGTGAAGTATGAGCTGACCAGCAGATGGCAGTTTAAAGAAGCCTGTGAAAGATTTTGAAGGTGTTGCTTTTATCCTACGTTCCTTATATCTTCCCTAGAGGGAATTCTTTCTTTCTGTAACATCCAGTGTCAAAACAAGCTCAGTTGCTGGTTATAGCTACAACTTCTTGCATTTCCAAGGCCTAATAATGCAAGTTATAATAACGCAAGTCTTAAGTTTTGTTCTTTTTCTGCATATTAAACAGTGTATTTTTTTTCTTATTACCAATTTGAGGCAGATTTGGTTTATCTGCATTTTTTAATGGGCATTAGCATGTACCAATGGAGAAAACATGTACAATTCTTAAAAGGTAAGGTATCTGATTGAGAAGGCAGTCATGAGACATGTACAACTTGCAACTAAAAAAGTACGTCAGCTCCATATATCAACCCTGGAGTCTAGTTGTACTACAGTATGCAACTAAAATATTCTAGGCACGCTTACTGAAGGTAAAAATAACTGTCTTTGAGATCCTAGGAACAGGAAGGAAGGAAGGAATTCATGTTATTTTAAACAAACTACTGCCCTAAAGAAAAAATAGCTGAAGCTAACCTTGCAGGTTGTTAAACAGAATCGGTGTGCTTCTAGCATTTCATTCTAGCTTCCTTCGAAGATAACTTTCTCTTCAAAACAGTACTTACGGATAATTTAATATATAGTGTCACTTTAAATCCTCTGACTTAAGCAGACAGTTGTTTCCTGTGTTTGTTTCTGTATGCCTATAGGGGTTTTTTTTCCTGTTTCAAAGCACCAGTAAGCAGTCAGGGGTACGTTTTTGTGGAACACTGCAAGTAATTGGACTTGTTTCTTGCTAAACTGCTAAAGCCTCTAACAATTGAAATGACCTTCATCGCCCACCAGATCATACAGTTTTGTTACAATGCTTCTACTTTCACATGGAAAAAAGTTCTAGGCTTGACTCTTGTTTTTTGGCAGCTCGTTCTGTGTAGAAAATTAAGTTTCTTCTGTAATTATTCTCATCTTGTGTATTCCTTAGGCTTCAGAGTGCAGAGAATCTGTTTGCTGAATGTTTACATGATGTAGGTTTTTATTCCACACCCCCTACCAAAGTATCATGAGTACCTGTAGGCAATTTTATTATGTTTTAAAATGTTCTCAGAGTTTTAATTAACTTTCCAGGCAAATTCAGAAATGCATAATATCCTTATCTGAAACGTCTAATTCCTGCTAATAATAAAAATGAAACTTGTCCCAGGCCGTCTTTTTTGCTATTATAGTACTGTGTACACTTGTGGCACCGCATACTTAAAGAATTTACCTAGTCTAGCAGTATGGGCCAAAATATCATTCTTCATTCAGTTCAGGAATTCTTATACTGAAATAAAGGAAATGTTAACTGTAACTCAATTGGCTCTGTCAGTTTTTCTGTCTCCGTGTGGGTGCACGATAGATTGTCTTTTGAATACAGTTTGATCTGATGTTTGTATGTTGCTTATTTACTTACTCTTATATAAAAGTTGTGCTTAGATTTTTAAA